TGTTGGCCAGTCCATATCCAAACACAGATTGATTGTTTCTGTTTATCTTATTCTCTTGACTTCTTTGACCAACTTCCTATTACAATGAACACACACACAATAATACAAGCTGCATGTAAGAATGGACTGTGATAGTAGTTGTGTGTTAGCAAAAATCACTCCAAATTTTTATTACATTTTCTGATATATATTGATGTCCTTATGCTGTGTAGAAAGTTTGAGCTGATTCCGACTTCAATTTATCAAGTTACTGCCGCTTTAAAAAATGGTTGATTTTTGAGCCCATGGTTTTTTTGGAAAAATGGCTCCGAAATCACCTCAAATTTTAATTACATTTTCTGATACATATTGATGTGCTTATGCTGTGTAGAAAGTTTGAGCTGATTCCAACTTGAATTTTTTGAATTATGGCCATTTTTTTAAAATGGCCAATTTTTGAAAAATACCCAAGGCTATAGCCCATTTTTAACATTAATAAATTTTTTTGAATTTGAAATAGGATCAGAAATCAGTAGTAATGAGTTTATAAGTGAAATTAGTAATAATAATAATAATAATAATAATAATCTTTATTAATATGTTAGTGACATTGAAGTCGAGCATCAGAGATTGCTACATCAATGTCACAGTCACTGGGCCTATATATTGATCTCCTTGTACCCCTTACACACCGAATTGTTGATCTTAAAATTGAAAATGATAATTTGCATCTGATGAAATTGATTACTGAACTGTACGGTTTGTTAAGTTTGTCAGATGTCAGTAATGCAATTCGTCTAAAAACTACATCACATACAGGAGCCAGCCCGCCATTGGTGGAAAAAACAAGAGGTGAGAAGCAACCATGCTCCTGGTTTTTTCCAAAAAATGGCTCTGAATTGACCCCAAATTTTTATTACATTTTCTGATACATATTGATGTCCTTATGCTGTGTAGAAAGTTTGAGCTGATTCCGACTTCAATTTTTAAAGTTATGGCCATTTTAAAGTACTACCCATGCAGTGTACATAAGCCCTGCCCTACATCACACGATGTCACACAGTGATTCTCTTCTTACCATTGCTTTCCTTATTATAAACTTCTTGACTCCACCAATAGACTGAAACTGAGTTTCAGCTGCTTCTTTGAATTTCTCCCACACCCTGGGGACAGCAAGTATCCCAGTTGGATGAACTTCCTACAACAGAAAAATAAAATAACATTAATACATGTACATATGTACATATCACAGTACACAGTATAAGGGACATGTTATAGTATAAGAATTAACTATATGTACACATACATGTACATGTACATATTACAGTACATGTTATTACAAGGGCTGAAACGAATAGTGAGATATTCAAATATTTGTTCGTTATAGCAATATTTGAATAGTTTTTTGCTATTACATGCAATAATTAAGAGCCACGCTCACCACGTGTCACCTGCACAGGCTGCTTTCTTAGTGTCTGTTTCTTGGTCTGTTTACTTACCAACTGGCTAAATACTGATGCTGTGGCCAGGGAAAGTGGTTCTCAATCTCTAAGAAGCTCTGTTTGGCATCATTTTGAAAAGTTTAACACCAAAAATGTAGTTTATAATCATTCAGAAATAACATTTCAATTATTCAAATATTCATTCGTTTAGCATGCCAATTATTCGAATAGTGAAAAATACTATTCGTTTCAGCCCTAATTACAAGTACATATCACAGTATACAGTACTTACAGTATTACATACATGTAGATATACGTGTATATTGTTTCATAGATATTACATGTACTGTACATTATACTACAGTAAACAGTACACAGTGTATGTTAGTACCAGTAGTGTTTCTCTCAGTGATCCTTTTAGAGCGTCAGGTTGAGCAAAGCAAACACATGATCCACAGATAACAGGACCAATGAGATCAGACATCTGACCACCAATGTGACTTAAGGGAAGGAAACTAACACCCCTATCCTCCTGTAGGAGAGAAGGAGGGAGGGAAGGAGAATGAAATTAAATTGAAGTTATATGTATATTAGTATAAATACATGTGCACAAAAAGTGATATTTTATTATTATTATTAATTACCATATAACGCTTTATTTTGGCGATTTTGCTCTAAAATTTTAATTGGCTATTTTTAATTTGGCGATTTCTGTGTACACGTGCATTACTGAGCATGCGCATTAATGATTGGCGATTCTGCTTGCAAACCGCCAATCGCCAAAATAAAACTTCGCCAAATTAAAGTGCTATACGGTATATACAGTACTTACGTGTGATCCTCCACAGCTTTTAGTGATGGCTTTACCAGTAAACACAATATTATCATGAGACAGCATTGCCCCCTGTGAATACAAATTGAAAAATAATATTTTAATAATTATGTTGCACATAAATCTATTTCCCACATACATGTACATGTACATGCATTACAAATTACTACATTAATAATTTTGGAAGATAGTTTCTGAACAAAATGAAAATGCTATATACATGTATATATATGCAATTAACTTAAAGTCATGCAAACAAGTTTAAGTTTTACAATTGCTATTGTACGCATACTGTATAAGTGGTAATTTTCAAGGGTTGCAAATTTCGCGGATTTCTTCCTGATTTGCAAAATCAATTTAATACAGAACCCGCATGACACACGTGATAGAATTTGCAAAATTAAAATCTGCAAATTAGAATTTTAGTAGATTTCGTGAAATATAGAAGCCACAAAAGTTACTAGCTATACTGTACATACATGTACAAATACATGTAAGTATGTGTACATTGTTCACATACTTTAGGAGGTCCAGTGGTTCCTGATGTGTATATGAGAGTGGCACAGTGTCCTGGTTTAATGGCTGACACTCTATCACTTAACTCATCATCCTTCACATCCTATTAATAACGGAAAGGAATTATAAATACATAAACATACACAATAATAATATAAACAAGGACGAAATAATAAGCACATGTACATGTACATGTGTATTAAATACCTCCTCTTATTAATTCTCTACTTCATTAGTTTGTATGTGAACATTATGTAATTCAATTAAGATGTGATTAGGAAGTTTAGCTTTATGGCTGCCAATATCAATTGGAACACTCTTAATCACTTACTGCATGTACTCATTCCCACCTACTCTCTCCATCTATAATGTATACACTGTACACTGTACATTATACATGTAACCTTAGGCTCAGTTCACTACAAACACCTGTTCATCAGTCTAGCCAATTATCACTTTATCAGTTTGTCTCATTCATTTCCTGATTAGACTCTCTCTCTCTCTCTCTCTCTCTCTTCCTTTCTCTCTCTCTCTCCCTCTTTCCCTCCCTCTCTGTGCAGGCTCAAATCCACTGAAATTAATACACTAAAATAATAACTGATGAAAATATGCATAACTACAAAAAACAGTAAGAAACAGTAATATTATTATCAAAGGAAAGGATTATTATTATTATTATCATTATTATAAAATACTGCCTAAAATAATTAATTCAATATAAGAAAATGAGAATAGGTAAAGTTTCATCTTGCAATTACTTGTTTACAGTTATTTTATAACTACAAAAAATAACAGTATAAAACACCATTATACTAAAATATACTCACAAGTCTTTTCTATGTTTATAGCTACTGCAATTTCATCAATTTTTTTAAGAGCATCAACTAATGCTTTGTAAGTTGCTTTGCCAGTTTTTAACCATTCCGCAATACACTCTTCAACACGTCTTTCTACTTCATCTGAATAATCTTTTTCAAAAGTGTTCAATTTTTCATGTTTGACACCTAAACGTAGTCCAAGTTTTCGCCACTTTTTGCTTGTAAATTCATTATCCACCAAAGCAAGGAATATATCATTTAAATGTGACAAATTCAAAGTATCTGCAGGTGTATAAAATTATACAGAATATATAAATTTTAAGTCTACTAACCTTTGCTTTGTTCTTTAGTTGAAACAACAGCATCTGCAGTAGTCTCTGACGTAGCAGTATTATCTATTAACACGCAATTATCATCATTTTATACTCTGTTACATTCAGTACCTTTTGTAGCTTTATCAATTATGATATTTAAAGTTATTGGTTCAACAATGCCCTTAATTGGTACAGGATAATTTAGGGTGCTGGGTTCAGCATCAGGTGAAGCTATTACAGATATGAGAAGAGTCGGAGGTTTAGCATGATAAGTATCACCAAACATTTCTATATCACGCCGTTTTAACTGAAGACATAGAATAATAAAAAAATTTACTATTAAACAAAGTTTGACTTACTTCACAAGGTGTTATATGAGGAAAAATACTCCATCCTTTTAAACTATGATTTTTAGTATCATCAAATATCAATTGAATGTGTTCCTCAAGAGAATGCTTGGTAAGTCCACATTTAATAAAACGAAATCTAAAATCCTGCCCGTCTTCACGTTGAGGATATTTAGCTTCTATAGACTATACAACAATTAATAAAAATTAATCAATGCTAACAAAATAATTATCTAAGATTGAATTGCACAGATACACAAGTAGATTTATGTACTAAGGCTATACCTTAATAAGTGCATCTAAATTTTTAGCAGCAGCAAATATCACTCTCTCTTTTTTCATTACATAAAAGAGCATTCCTGTAAAAGTTTCAGAATCTTCAATGCCAGTAGCTTGAGCTGAAGTTGTAACTAGATCTATTTAAAATAGGTCAAATAAGTATTTTAATCTTACTGTTGCTAGAAAGGTATGACTTCTTAGTAGAGGAAGGTTGGTCATTTTGGTATGGCTTTTTGCCACTTGATTTCTGTTCTTGTTTAGGTCTTGTAGGTGCTTTTGGTTTCCTACCTCCACCTTTTTGTTGTTGTTTTAGTCCTCCAGGTTGTTGTACCTCACCT